CAGTTCTGTTTGCTGAGAACAGAAACAAGTACCACCTCAGGGGACTTTCACCATCAGCTACCTAGGCACTGCAGTTTTAGCACAATTCTTATTCTAACCAACCTATTGTTAATTTGTTCATTGACACCACTTGAGGCTCAGAAGCCATCAATAAGGGTAAATAACCCTTGGGAACAAGATTCACACTTGATACGGCAATTTTGTTTGTGCAAGCTACACACCGCTGTTTCTGCAGTTAAAATGGAAAGGAAAATGCATGTCTACAGCAGGCAGGCATATCTGCATGCTACCCAAAGATACTGGCTCAAGTACATAGGAAAAGTCATGCTGGATCAGACCAAGGGTCCTTCTGGTCCAGCACTCCATACAGTGGCAAACCTGCTGCCCACAGAGCCCCTCCAGCTGGATGCGTGCAAGACCTCCTCCTGCCCAGCTCCTCAGCAACTGGTATATGCAGGTATGCCACCTTGGGTCAAGAGGATGGCACATAGCCAGTAAGACTAGTAGCCACTGATAGCTTCCTCCCTCATGATTCCACTGTGCCCTTCCTCTGTTGCCCATATGTATGCTACAGAAAGCAGTCCCTAATCAAACCTTCATAAACATGTCCCTTGGTTTTCCCAATCCATGAAGCAGAGCAATTCCACTTAAAAAAATAAATATGTAAGGTAGTTTGTGTGCATGCAATTCCTCATTCATTAAAAACAACTGAACTACCTAGTGGACTTACCTAAACTTTATGAAGCCTGACTAAAGCAGAGATGGACAGAAGTAGATCTCCAGATGTTCCCAAAAGGCCCTGTCAGCATTGTCAGTGTTCAGGAATGCTGCAAGTTGAAGTCTAGAAATCTGGAAATCTACCCTCTGATCAGTCCTGAACTAAAAGCCCAGCACTGTCTTGATGCCTTTTCTACAATTTTGATGTGTACCCCCACCATGCCGCTTCTCATGATAGGAGTCTGCATCTTCTGTCATACCTTCTACCTCTTTACTCTCAATTTACTTCACCTAAAATGAAAATTAAGTCAAAGCCAGTAAAAATGGCACAGATACTTCGGTACTGGAATTAAGGTAGCATCCCTAAACTTAATGTGGAAAACTTTATGAATCCTCAATTCCATTTTTAAGGCTGGTGTAGATTTTCTGCTCCATCCTTCTCTGTGTTAGGATCTTAGCCAGCTTCTCTCACAGCTCTTAAGAAATGTTCGTGTTTCTCATTTTATAATCTCTACATAGTCCTCGCACATCTATATCCTTTCTTCTCCTAAGACCAAAACTGTTTTTAAAAACCATAGTTCTGACTGCTTAAGATGCATTATGAAAGTTGTTCAGCCTATCATCCTGTGAATATGGAAAAACCAAATGAGGTTTCTAAATGCATAGGGACAGCCAGAGAGCGAGAGAGTGAGAGGGAGGGAGGAAGACTCTAGCAGAACAGTAGAAGAAAAGCCAGAATACATCCCAGGATGCTAGTCAAGGTGATCATGAGAGACCCTATGGAAAGGCTGATGCTTCTTAAATCCAAGAACTTTAAAGCAAGGAAATTGGGAAGAAGCATTACTCAGAGACTGGAAGAGACAGAGACTGCATCAGATACTGGCAGTGAGGTCATTAATTTTATATATCACCAACAACAACTCTGACACTTGTCAAAGTAACATAAACAAAAAAGTAAATCTCTGTCCTACTTCAATTATAGTTGAAATTTCAACAAAAGACGATAATAGAGGAAGAGGAAGAAGGGCATCCTGGAATAGAAATGAGCATGAGAAAATGTATACATGTACTTTGGCTTCATTCATGTACTCTGTGAAAGACAAATGGAACAGGCACACTTTATATTAACTTGCATATCACTTGCAAGGACCACTGGTGAAATACAGCAGCTCAGCCCTTGCTGTACCTAACAGAGAAAACCTCAGTTTAAAAAATCCTGCTTAAAATATTCATTCGAAAATGAAACACACAAGCAAAGTCATTGCAAGGTAAGAGCTATGAGCCTTAATATACTGAGTATCCTACTACCTATAAGATGATAGGTTTGGCAGATCTAAGAGAAGGAGAATTTTCTCCACAGACAATCCAATCAGCTGTGATGTATACAGGAAGGGCTCTTTGAGAGCAGAACCCAGAGTCACCCACACAACACAAGGACATGGGGTTTAGGTGCTTGAACTGCTCCAGGCAGTCTCTGCTTATTCAGGCAAATCCCCACCAGAGACTCTGGAAGGACTTTTGAGCAACTCACACCAATGCAGCCTGACTACCAACAGCAGGGAGAGACTAAAATGGGGCAGGATGACTGCAGGTTTCCACATTATAAGCCTACAGCAAAAAGAAAGCACAAAGTAAACTTCAAGCAAAAAGATGGGTGTGGACACGATGAAAGATTCCTAAAAATTGAGTCATTAAAAACAAAGCTAGCTCTAAAACTGAATTGCCACTGGGATTTGCCAGTCTCAGTTCACCAGTCACGTCATCACAAGGCCTCTCCCTGATCTGGGAAAAAGGCATCTTTTCTGCTTGGCCCAGCACTCCCTCCCCTCTTTTCCCTCATGGGTTCCTATTAATAGAAAGAAAGGCAGGGGAGGGGAGTAGCCAGCTTTTTTAGTTTCCCAATAGCCTTGCTGAGTCTTCCTTCTTCCTGTGTGGGCGTGGTGGAGCCGTCAGGAGCTCCACTGAGGTCTTTGGCTTCCCCCAAAAACCCAGAAGGGGGAAAAATAGCCTTCCTGTTTGAACTCACAAGCTCTTCTTTCTACCCAGAACACACCCCACACTATCCACAAGGGCCTGGCTGTCCAATTGGAAAATAATTAGATAGCAATTTTATTTACGACTCTTCTCTTCCTCTCCCCCATCCCATTTTAATGGCTAAATGGTGACTCATTTTGGCAGTGTCAGAATACACAGGAAGTTGTCTCTGTTTTACAGCCACCGCTGTTCATTTGTTGTTAAATATTTATCCTACGCAAGGATGCTTGAAAGGAATCTGAAGCCCTGTTGGTGCCATTTTCTCACAGATTTCAAGGCAGTTGGACCAGATCAGGAAGGAGAGACAGAGGCCTACCCAGAAAAGCACAAGGAGAAAGGCCTAGACAATCAATCTGTGGAGCACAGACATCTGCAAACTGCCTGATGTACCACATACTTAAGATCACACCCTTGAACTCAGTTTTAATCCAGAGTAAATGCCACTCCCCGGCTTCAGGCTCACAATTACCAGTGTGAACTACAACCCCATTTAATCTATAAATGTGTGGGAGAGGGGGTTTCACCCTTTTAATCCTTTTCACCCTTTTTTGTATTTTAATCATATTAAGGGGTAAACAGTATACATCAAATGATCCTGAGCTTGTAACCTAATCAACCATGCAGCTACAACTAATTCCCCTCACCATCCAGATTATTCTATGAAATTCCAGTGTGATATCCAAGAACAGCTTGGCTTTGTGAATGGCTTTGTGAAGTAGACAGAGACCCACTCTGCCCTTCCCAAAAAAGTGCTCCATTTTTAAGGAAAATGCTAGCCTGAAGGTGCTGGGATTGGATCCCTTTCCCCAGCATTACAAAAAATAAAAATCAATTTTTAAAGGCTAGTCACTGTGTGCTTTCTTTTCCATCTCAGCAGCTAAGAAGAGATGGCCTCACACTTCTCTCCATAGCAGGAATCCAAGACATCAGGAGGGAGGGAGGGTTCTCATGGAATTTCCCCTTGTAGGAGGCCTACCCAGAAGGGATAGCGAAGGGAGGAAGCAAGCCAGGGAGACAGTGATTTGACATTGACAAGCCTTACAATAGGAGGTTGCATTGTAATCAAGGCCTTGCTCCAACCCCTGGGAGCAAAGCTGCCTCGAACCAGATCGCAGTGCACTCTGGCCCACTGGATTTCTTCTCCACCCCATTCTTGTGGGAGAGCAACAGAGGGGTTAGGCCTCTAGGAAAGCTTTCCAGAACAAGTGACGCAGCAATGGTGTTTTATTTTTAAAGTGATAAGGGTGTATGTGGTGGTGGGACATTGCCAAGAATCTCACTGCATCATTTGTTGAGCACTGAGTATATAGCGGAGGGACCTTTTATACCTGCTAATAGGCCTGCACTTATCTCTGGCCAAATACAAATGATCTGCAGCTTTACCAGATTTCCTCCTATTCTCTTCACTGTTTGCAGAGCTGTTAGAAGATTTAAAGATCTTATTGTTCTCCCAGGGAGAGAAAAGATGGCCTCAGAGACCACCACTATACACCCCCATCCCCCATGTCACATACTATTGTTTGAACAGCCACTTTCACACTGAAAGAATCCCCCACCCCTGGAACACACACATTCCCACTGCTTTATCCCTTCCCTCCCTCTATCTCATCCTGTCTACCGAGGGTCCAGGTTGCCCTGATGCATTTCTAATGGGGCCTGAAAAGATTGTCAGCTTTGTTTACTTCCTTGTTTTCACCACATCTAAGATATCAGCACAGCACTAGGACAGGTGCAGCAAAACCTGTACCCAACAACCTGCAGCAAATCTTACTGGCACTAAAGATGTATTTTGTACTCAAGGGGTAAAAACAATGGCCTCTCTCTATTTAAAAGGAAAGGTCACCTTTGCATGGAATGGTTCACTTTGGTATTGTGAAAGGTTACATTTGAGCAGAAAGGCCAACCTTTCCCATTAAGGATAAAACAGTTCTTGGGAGAACCAGAGGTTAGAAAGCAGAGCTGCTGGGCCCATACTGATCCAGGCAATGAGAATTAAGAAGAGTGTAAGGAACACACTTTCACTGCACCAACAGTTATTATTTACCATGTGCCCATGGCCTTCTGGCCTCTGATCAGGCTTGGCAGAACTTATTTCACAAGGCGTTTTCTTCTGGAGACTAAAAACTGCATGGGGCAAGAAACCACATTTTATTTTGTTTTTCTGTGCAGTCCCTACTAGTACAGTGCCAAGCACACTGCTGGTATTTTGCAGACAGACAACCTGAGAAAGAGGCAAATGCCGCACTTACCCTGATCTCGTTGCGCCGGATCTCTACGTCACATACAGAATGTCCTTGATGCGCCCCGCTGTAGTAACAACAGAATTGGCAGACAGCAACCTGCTCAGCCTCGCAGTGGTACAGTCGGTAGGCATTGTGCTGGGGGCAACTCCAGGCCCTGACGTCATCCGCCTCCACTAGGAGGTGCCCACGCGCTGTGGAGGGCTGCTGCAGGTGTGTCTGGACATGAGACTGGCAACATGGAGCTTCACACCTCAGACAAATCTTCTGGGCAGGCAAAGGAGGCCCACGGCGGCAGAAGACACAGTGTAGGACTGAGGGAGTCTTTTCCAAGTTGAGCGAGTTGAACTTCTCCACAATGTTGGTCAGCTTTAAGTTCTTCTCAAGGTTGGGCTTCTGGTTGTAGGCCTGGTTACATTCAGGACAACGCACTAGCCCCGTCTCTTTGGCCCAAGCCTCTCCTATGCATCCTCTACAAAAATTGTGCTTACAAGGAAGCTGGACAGGTTCCACAAAGACATGCAGGCAAATGGGGCATATAAGCTCTTCTTCAAAACAGTTCTTCCAGTTTTCAGCCATGTCTCACAGCAATACAGATTTTATTATTTTTAAATCTCTTTAAAAAGTCAGTTTTTGGTCTATCAACACAGATGATGAGGAGTTCCCACTTTTGCAACAGAAAGGCCACTAAGTTGCTAGTGAACCAAAAAATTAAAAATTAAAATTAAGTGCAGAACTATCTCCTAAAATTCAAAGCAAACCCCCCACCCCAAAAACCGGGTAGCAAAATCAAACAGATGTAATAAAATAAACAACTAGCATAAAAGCTGCAAAGCTCAGAAGCTTGTAAAGTTTAAAATGAAACAATCTTAATCCTTTCAAAGTTTTTACTTTTGATTCTGAAAAGAAAAACTTACCGAGAACTGGAAAAAATCCATACAAAATCCAGAAGGAAGGGGTCCAAATGCCATATAAACCTCTTAAGTTAAACACTGCCAACTTATCATGACTTTTTGCCCAACATTTTATATTGCGAGAACCTTTATCCTTCCTGACTAAACTCAAAAGAATCCCTTTTCAATTTTTTTCTTCCCGTAACAGAGTTCAGAATTCAATTAAGCCACCAAAAAAGTTGGGTGATAAATCCAAATGCAGGATTAAAAATACAAGAAAAAACAAAAAACCACACAATGTCTAACTTCTAATACAGCTGAATGGTGCAGTACGAAAAAAGATTTCTTCGTTGGCTTTGGGACAGTGCAATCTCAGTAGGAAGACGGTCAATCGCTTCAGATGAAATTCCAGCCCAGAGTCAAAGGGACCCTCCCATCCCTTGCTGCTTTCACAAATAGGAATGAGAAGAAGTAGAAAAATAAGGACTCAGGAGGGTGGAAACAGCTGAAAACAAATTCAACCAAGAGAATCAACCTGCTCCTAATACACCCTGGAATTTTGCCTTCTCAAAATCTATAGCGATCTTTTCAAAAAAATATTAGTAAGACTGAAATTGAAACAATACTCTCCTCTCCAAAATCCTCAGCCTTTCGGGAGAGTGATGGGTTGCTCTCGCTGGAAGGAAAACAAGTATGCCTTGATCAAACTGAAAAGGAATTTCTCAACTGCTAATGAAGAGCCTGGCCCCCGCCTCTTCCCCTTTGCTTCTGTTTTCCTTCTGACATGAAAGCTATTTCTCCTTTTGGAACCAGCCTGCAAACCGGAGGGGAGGGAGGCGAGGAGGGGACACACACACACACTCACTCACTCCCAAGCGCGCGCGCGCGCACGGACGCTCAAAGGGAACTGCTGAAATGTACAATTTCAAGAGGACCCAGTCAGTCCTCAGCCATTTTGAGCTTTTTTTTTTTTAATTGGTGGATCGGGGGGGGGAGCAGAAAGATATCTGTTAAAGACGAATGTGGGAGGGGGCGGAAGGCTGGTGGAAAGCACCACCCTGCAAAGTGTGCGCCTGATGTGGCGCGGAGCAAGGAGAGAAGAGGGCTCTAAATTGAGTTTATATAGCCGCAGCTGCCGCTGTGCCTTTTAGCTTTTATCTTCAGATTAAAAAAACCCCTTCATGCTCCTCACAACCACCTCCAGCCATCTTGAGTCTCCCCCCTCTTGCAAATAAAAATCTATCTATATATCTATATATATAGGCGTTCGCACACGCCTATCTTCGACACCTCTCCCTAAAGCTCCCACTGTCACAAATAACAAGAAATTAACTAGCGAACCAATAGATTCGACAATCTCTTTTCACCTTTTCCACATGCAAAAGAAACAAGCAACACAGAACAGACCCACGATTTCGACCCAAGAGAAAGACACAACAAAAAAGGGGGGTGCGTAGAAGAGAGGGATTGCTCTCTATCACCACACTATCGCCCAAAAGGAAGGCAGAGAAGAATGATGGAATTCCAGATCACGAAAACTGGGCGATATATGAAAAAATAGATCCATTTATCGATTGTTAAGATCCCAAACAGAAAACCCATACAGATTTTTTAAAATTCTGTCCCCATTCAAAGCGCAGGGGCGCGGGGGAAGGTAAACCAAAAGATCTCTGCCTGGATAGATTTCTTTCCCCCAACGCCGCATAAATACAACCGATTAAAAACCTTACAACCGCCCCCCACCCCCTCCACGCAAAACCGAGTTGGGGAATGGGTGGCACGATAAAAATTAAATGAGATCTTTTGAGCAGATCGACGGGGTGACAATCAAGGTGACGGGGGGGGGTTGCCTATGAAAATAGGTAGCGATGCTGCTGCCTCATCCTCTCCTCCTCTTCTCCCGGGGGTGGTGAAAGCGCATTCGGGTTGGTGTGAAAAATGGGGGGGGGGGGTTGTATGAAGGAACTCAAGGGCGGAAGGATGACTACGGATCAAGGGCGCATCGCAGGATTTCCCCCCTCCTCCTCCTCCCGCGGCTTGGCTTAAAGGAACAACGTCTGTGTACTATCCGGGTTTCGCGTCTCCCAGGCGGCAGGGCCCCTTTAATCGATCAATCGCCGATCGATCAATCAATCGGCTCTGATGAAAAACAATGAGTCCTCAGGAGGCGCAAGGACAAGAAAAAAAGAAGCGAGGGAAGAAACCGGAGCCCAATCCGGGGGAGCCGCTGACCTATCTCTAGGCCTCGTCTTGTTTCGGTCCCCTCCCTTCCTCCCGCCGGGTCTGTGCCCAGCCTAGCCGCAGCTACCACCAGCCTCTCGCTTCCCGGCTCGGTCGACCCTCGGCAGCGGCTATGCCAGCGCTGGTACTGCCGGCGCTGCCGCCGCGCTGCTGCTCAACCCCTTCTCCAGGGCCTCACGTGACCCGCCACAATTTGATACATTAAACACAACGCGTCCGGCCTCTCTTAAAGGGGCAATGGCGTCCCTGTCGAAGGAGAAGCCGGGAGGGTGTCCTACTAGGCCTCTAGCTCGGCGCCTGCGTCTCTACTTACTTGAGAGCGGGGAGCCGCTTCACTTCATCGGAGGAGAGACAGCCATTACTGATCCTCCCCCCACTCCTGTGTTCACCTACCTTTGCTAGATGTCAGGGCATGAGTCATAGTGGTTGCCACCCCCAACAGGAAAGGGAGGCAGGTGGGAAACGTGGCCAGGTCTACCCATTGAATAAGTACAGCGCCTATTTTCTTGCTCTCTGTGTGTATAAAATAGCGTGTCTATATAGAGGTGCACCGGCAGCAGAACGCACGACGTGCCAGCTGCTGTACGGAGTGCTAACCATTGCCAAATGGAATAGAGAGCAAAGATCCCCTACCCTTAATAGCAAGTTAGGCAATTGGTCCATTGGCTTTAGTGGTTTAAATGTTGTTCCAATGCTCTTTTAATATTCTAGTATGTTTTTATGTATTCCAATATAATCATTGTATTCCTCCTTGGTGACATTTGTGGAGAAGCAGTGATGTACATGTTAAGAATAAAAGAAAAAAAGAAAAAGAAAACTGAGTTCAGTGTTGTCTGTATTGACAATGGTACTCCAAGCATTCCTGGTAGGGGTCTGGAGCAGTCTGTGCTGCTCTACTGAGATAGAAGACTTTCCTCAGTGTTCAGAAAAGAACACTAGTAGTTGCTGCAGGATGGGGAAAATTCACCAATGTATCCCCACACTTCTTCCTGTTCTGTTTACACAAATAGTTTTTAAAGACTTTATTATCATTATTTTAAAACATCTATGCAGGTAGGTGGAAAAAATTCCACCATCTCCACAGCAATGAAAGATACAGGAACTTTGTTGGGCAAGTGGTACTGTACTCAGCACCCGAGGTATGCATTCAGTTCCGTGTTCATATCCAACCCGTCTTAATTTGGTTAGTAGACTATATTCTCTTTTATGCTCTGTCCAATGACTAGTCTTTACCACTGATTTAGTACTTCAGAATGCCAGGTGCTGCACAGGTCTTACCTGTGATAGCTGCTCTGATGATTTACTGTGTTTGTTATTCAAAGAGCAAAACAGCTGATTTACTATACATGCAGTACCAAGATGTTAACATACAGATTTAGAGCTGATGCAAAATAAAAGTATGTGACTTTGAGGTGGATAAATTATATACCTTTTGAAAATATTTTTTTAAATTCTTAAATTGGGTTTTAGTTGCTCAGAACAAAAAAACATTTCTTGTTGGGATGACTATCATCTATGCTGCAAACAGTCCAGTGTCACTTCTATTCAGAGGCATTTCTAATGCTTCCCTTATGACTAGAGGTCACGGTTACTATATTATTCTATCTAAAGTATTGTTCTTCATCTGAAAAAGTTCCCAGAGTGCCATACAAGGATCAAAATTAAGACAGTCCTTGTCTACAACCTTACAATCTAAACAAACCCACAGCACAAAAGAAATATTGGTGGGGGGAAGTAAACTCAGGCACTAAAATTGTAGGTCATTATCCAGTGTGCCCTACACTTATTCTGTTATGCAGGCAGGTCTCAAGGCAGGAAGGTAGTAGTTCAGAAAGTGACTTGGGAAACGAGCAGAAACACTCATTTTTAAAATGGGGCAGTTCAACCTCATCCTTGCATTTGCCAGCTTGTTTCCAGAGTTGCTTTTTGAACCTCTAGCTCTCCATTGTGCCGGTGATGGGTCCTGCTGGCACACAGGCAGGCTCGAATACTGTTCTTAATTACAAAATTCCACTGGTAGCATTTCAACAGGTTATGGAGTTGCACCTAAGCACAATGGGAGGAGCTGCTACATTTCCCTTGCTGTTGCTGTTGGAAGTAGAGGGAGGGCCCTGTCAACTGGAGTTCTATCTTGGTGTGGTGGAAGGTGCCAGACTGCTGTTCCTCCTCTCCATCTTGGCATCAGCTAAAAGAAGCTACTCCGGCATGTGATGGAGAACAGTTGTACCACTTACCTTCTGGCACATATCAGAGGGTATGTTTCCATAGGTTAAGGAATCTGAATGCATATACATTTAAAATAATTTTCTGCATAGCATCTAACATTTCAAATTCAAGAAAACAGCACAAGTAGCAAAAGAAATCTGACTGGATCTGTTTAAAATAGATCTCAGTCTTTGTCACATCTTCACTAACTAGATCTTTCTGTACTGGATCCATACCAGGAGTTCCCTGCTGGATGCTCCAATGCTAGTTTAGAATGCATTCAGCATACAGTTAGAATGAGTTGCAGGAGGACACCTCAAGACTGGGAGATGCATTTGCTGCTCTAAGTGAAGGGCTGAAACTCGGTCATTACTATTTTGCCCAGCAGCAGTGAGCATCACATATAACTGGCATTCTTTTCCCATATTTCCAGTTCTCATATGAAAAAGGAAGCATGCATTTTCCACACAACCAAATTCATGCACCCCAGTGTGGGTTTGCACAGCACATGAATGTGGCCATGGGGAAGCACACAACTTTCTTTGTTGTGGGAGACAAAGTTCTTTGTCACCATTTCTGGGCTAGATGCAAAAAGATCCCAAGAATGTCTCATTTACTGGTAGCAGCTGCTGATATTTAACTATTCCAATGTTCCATCAGTTTATGTGTCAAGACAAAGTGTATGGCTATCCCATATGCATAGCCTTTTTAGAAAAAGGAGGACAAGTTAACAAATGTTTCCAAATTACATCTGTTTAGGAGGACAGTATCCCAAATACAACAATAGCCTAAGCACACATATTTTCTGGAAATATTTGGAACCACTGTTAATTTTTTTCAGTTTCAAAGTATAGTTAAGTGACTTTCCTTATGTGTCCTATAATTTTTGCATTGATCGTGCAACAGTTTTCTTGGGGGACTGGCTGGTATGACATGGTTATACTATATGATAGACTCCAATGTCACTATGCCTTTGACAAGCAGCTAATAACGTACCAGCAAGATATCCATTTGCTTCTTCATGTCTAGATGGGAGCTGTCTGTGTTTCTGGTTCCTTTTTATTTAAACTATTTTACATTTTGGCAAGCAGGATTTTATGCAGAATTTTCTTGTTTTATATTTTTATTGTCATCCATTTTTATCATTCTATCTCTGATTTTGAACTCTTGTGAAATGCTCAAAGTACTTTGACTATTAGGCAATATAGAGATAAAATAAATAATAATTAAAACACAGTTCTTTGGTAGCATACTGGAAGTACAGCAAATGGGAATGGCAGTCTCCCTCTCTTCCTATATGATTATCAAGCATCTTATTTCCACTGTGCGTACTGCAATACCCATGCTGATCCTGCAGTCTGTAAAATAGCTGGATGGGAGCCTAAAACATTAAGATATGCATTATGACAACTAGATGTACATAGCAGATGAAGCACACGACAGACAGGCAAAGTATTGGATCCAGATTCAAACTGGATCAACAGCAGCGGGAGAAGTGAATTTCCTCCCACCCACTTACATCGCCAGCCCCTCACATTCCTAAAAATGTTAATAGCTAATAGCATCATAAATAAACTACAGTGGGCTGGTCACTCGCTCCCTAACCCATGTCTCTGCTCACAAATGATCAGGTACTCTGCAACTTGCTGTGGCTTGTGGCCCCCTTAGTCTCCCTGTCCACTCTTGGCACATATATGATGGGCCTTTGCAGTACAGGCTCAGCAGCCGACTCCGCTTCTTCACTGATGAGAACATTTGCACTCACTGATAAAGTAGCAGGTTTTAGTAGAATTTGTAGAAATCTTTTGCCACTTTCAGGACACTTTGTATAAAGATATTGGTGCATATTTACTAGATTTGAATTATTTGGACAAATCTAACATTTAGTTACTGTGGTTTAGGAGAGTTATAGAAATTTCTCCGAAAGGTAAAAATACAGTTAAATGTGTACTAAACTCTCCAAATGAGATTTTTTTGAGGGGGAAAACATAATGTTAAATTTGCATGAACCTCCACAAAGGTCGGGAAAGATGTTACGTTTGCACAAATATTCCCCAGAAGGATGGGGGAGGTGTTGTTGTCTTGGGAGGAGACAAAGTGAAGGAGTGAATTGACTCTGATCATTTAAAGACAGAAGAGACATGGGATATTGTTAACAGGGCTGCAAGGGCTGCCAGGTGTCTCACTTGCTGTTTAAACAACCCATGCTGAAGCAATTCTACCAGGTTCAAATTGCACAACAAGCCACCCTGAGAACAAGATACCCTGCACAATCCTACTTTGAGTCATCTGTTCTCAGTCATCTGCTTGCAAGATACCAACCCATCTAGCAAAGCTGTTCCAGGTTTGGTTGTCATTCTAAGCTCCCCTGCAATTGCCCATGGCAGGATGTGTGAACCAGGTCACTGAACCAGGATATCCTGCTCTATGGAGGGAGCTGTAGCATAGTAGGAGGGGGAATCCCCCCAAACCAGGTGGAAGGATCATTCTCAAGTTCTCTTTCTCTAGTAGAAGGCAGAGCCCAGATACAGTGCAACCTCTTTCAATCCATTTATATAGCCATTCTTCCTTACACTTAATTATAGATCAAGAATTAAAAAATAAAAAGGAAGGAAGGAAGGAAAAGCAGGCATCTGAGGAAGTTGTTTATATAGCACAAATGTAAACCATTTTCAACTCTCTTTAACTGCCACAGCGTGCACCCAAGAAGCCCTTGGGACTCTAAAAGAGAAGAAAGATGTCTAATAAAATATTCTCAGCACCCTCATAAAACTACACTTTCCAAGATTTCTTACAGAAGCTATGGCAGTTAAAATGATTTGAATCTGGCCTAAACATAGTTTCATTTTTGGGCCAGCTTTTTCCAGCCAACCATTCTTGCTAGGGAACAGGTTAAATAAAATAAATATTGAAATGCTTGGCTTTTAAA